CTAAAATGTTACATTTGTGCATTTAAGTGTAGAAATCACACTTAAATGTGTGATTTGTACTTGTTTTATTGCAAAGTTGTATCTTTAATTCATAACTTAGATTCACACAGGATTAATTGTGATTAATTGATTATCGAAATAATCTTCAACTAATTAGGTGATTTATCGTTAACAGGCGTATAGAGATACTTAAACATGCCTTTAGCTGACAGATCAACCAACTTAAAGCAGTAACTATACCAAAATTGTAAAAACTATATATATATATATATATATATATATATATATATGTGTGTATGTATGTATGTATGTATGTATGTATGTATGTATGTATGTATGTATGTATGTATGTATGTATGTATGTATGTGTGTATGTGTGTATGTGNTGTATGTATGTATGTATGTATGTATGTATGTATGTATGTATGTATGTATGTATGTGTGTATGTGTGTATGTGTGTATGTATGTATGTATGTATGTATGTATGTGTGTGTATGTATGTAAGCATTTTGCATTAATATAAAAAAAAGTTTTTGGATGTCAATATGCTCTTTCTAGAACTCCTCAAGTAGAAAAGTTTTAGTTTCATCTGGTTTAATTTTGTAAAAAATCTTCTTTAAGGGAACCTCGAGAGATTAATCGATTTGCAAAATAATCGTTAGCTGCAGCACTAATCACATATATGTATGAGTTGACACAAATCTTTAATTCATTCAGCTTTATTTACTTACAAGTTCAAACACCTACGCATCGGATTTTTATTGGCGGTTATCTTGCCTCCCATTTCTAATCTAAGAGGATATTCACTGCTTTGGTTTCTGTTTTATAACCTGACCTTTGACTTCTTTAGAGAATTATCTCTGACCCATCTGCTGTTTTACTTGATCTTTATGACCCCATTTGTTCATAAATGTTCTCTAACACTCTTCCTTTAAACTCACTTGGTCGCAAGTGATTTTAGGTGTAATGGATCAAGTATGCATGCGAACTTTTCCTTTTTTCCTTCATTTCACAATTGTAGGCCATTTTAAAGTCTAATAAAAACTGATTTTCTACCAAAGTGGCCACAGAATGTAAATATGGATAAATCTATCTTGAGACAAAAATAAAAATAAAAAACTAAACAAATCTTTGTGTTTTTGGAGAAAGCTGACCCTGGTTTAGTGAGTTTACTCTAAGAATGAGCAATGAGAGGGGTTCATTTCTGCCATATAGTTCATATTAAAAACCTGCTCTGATCTTCAAATCCAGATGCATGAGTTTGACTGTAATCTAAGGCATGCCTCATAAATATGGCCTCCTCCATTTTACTTTGCACTTTATTTGTCTGCAGTGTGTTCCAGTGCGTCCCGCCCAGACAGGCCTGTGGTATTTGGTTACCACAGGCAAGCTGTTGACAGAAGATCTGTTACATGTTGTTTTTTTTATTCTGCTTGATTTCAGGTCGTGTAAACATGACCTCAGATGGCTCTCCCACTGTCTCCGTACGGAGCTATGATATCAGCGTTTTAACTAGTAGATTTGTTTTGTTACAGCCGTGCTGCAATGCTGTTCCCTAGCTCCATAATCTGTATTAAAAGTGCCAGTAATGAACCCCTCTTCAACAAACGTGGATTATCATAGGTAAGACTGCAAAAGCACGGGAAAGCATTTTTGCTTGAATTCCTCACATGACCCAATTCCCTGTATTTGCTTCCAATGCATACAGAGGAAAAATGGGATGAAAAATACTCTCCTTTATTTTCAACGATGGGGGAGAGAATCAATGGTTCTTTTTTGCCAGCGTGAAAGAGCCAAAGGAAAATTACTGGGCATCGCTCTACAAAGTCACCTCTGATTTTAATCTTTATTAGCTGAGTCAGATGTGAAGATGCTGAGGCGGCAGAGAACAAATTCAAACCTCGTCTTCCTGAGCTGCATCACAAGCCGCTTATGTTCAGTTAGAGAAAATCCTGCATCTGTAGAGATGTCATTTTTTTACAGGCTATAATTTTTATATTCTGCTCTTTTTCTGTATGCATGATCCTTGATATTGGTCCTACATTCTTAACAGTTGAAGTGTTCTTTTAAAGGCCTAAAGCTTTTAAAACCATGCAGGACAATAAGAGCAGAAAATCGGAGCATAGAAAAGGAGCAAAAAGAATGAACAAATGTTCAGAGGTGTTACCAATCTGAAGCCAACTATGTCAACTCCGAGTCATTCTGCAGACATTATCCGCCCTAAGCAAAACTAAATCAGTCTTTTCACACCTGAATACCTGACAGGTTGCATCGAATAAGAACTCAGTTTGACTAAAAATGAGAAACATCTTGCACACTTTCCACTTTAGGCTGTATTCAGGAATACTCACTGTCTTTTTTGTTTGTTTATTTCCTGCCTTCAAACTTGCATTTTTAATATTTTGGCAACTGAGTAAATGAATCAAAAAATGTCTTATATAAAAAAACTGGTGCTAAATTTCTAAGGGAAACAGAATAAAATTTGCATATTGTTACAGTAACTTTTAGTTTTACATTAGACATATAGCTAAATATGTTTTGGTCATTTTATTTCTAACCTCTTACAGGCATCTAAATCAAAACAGTCTCTTTTAATTATGAAAAAAATGATAATAGATCACCTGTTTACTGTCGATTCGCTCTTGGGGAATTTCAGAATTAAGGTGTATCTTAAAGTTGACGATGTTCAGCTGTAACTGTATCGTTAATCATTAATCTGATTTATTGATGTGGATGGGTGTATTGCTACACCTCTACTAATATTTGATAAGCTGCAGAGAAACCACCTGCTTTTTGTTGCCACCAAAGAGCTTCTGACTTAATTCAAGCTGAATATTTAACCACTGTTTGGCAGCTGCCTGGGGCACCATCTGCTTGACAGGGTGCAAAATTGCAGAATAATAAAAAAAAAAAAAATTATGTAATAATAATTGAACTTTATTGATCTCACATTGGGCCACGATTGTACAGCAGTGGGTTTAAGGGTCTTGCTCAGAGACCTAAAGTGGCAGTCTGTGGGAGTGGGGCTCAAACTCAGAACCTCAGGATTCCACTAGGCCGCCTCTCCCCCACTGCTGCAAGGAAATTCAGATGAGTTAAGTTTTGAACAACACTGGGAATTTTAGGGAAGTCTGGGTGTTTACTTGCCTCTTGTGGAAAGGTTTCCAACTTGGTCCAAACCTAAAATTGATTATTTAAGGTTACTTTGACTGCACATTGTATTTATTTAAGCATTATTTATAAAAAAATTGACCAAAATGAAGGTAGCCATTTCACTTTGATATTTTTGAGTTTGTTTTTAATTGCAGAATTTTATGCTCGTCTTGATTTTGTATTTCAACCCAGGACATTTGGTTAAGTATAAGTAGTATGCCTTTAAAAAAGTGTTTGTGTGAACATTTAGAATTAAAAACTGAATCATTTTGGAGTAACTTTTTTAGAATAAAAACTGAATAATTTTGGAGTCATTTTTTTAAAGTGAGAGTGTAAAGGGGCACTCTCGCCTTGGGCCCCAAAGAACCTAGAGCCGGCACTGTAAACACTTTTCTTGGTAGAATTGTTGGATCTAAACTGTTTTCAATTTTTGGATCAAACCAGCTGAAACACAAAATGGTGTTCCATTATTTTTGGCTAAAAATATATTTGATGTAAGTTGTAGAAATACTATTTTATTTTGATTATTTTATCCACTTTGTGCAATGTACCAGCACTAAACAGAGCTCCAGCATGATGCTGCTACCACCGTGCTCGACAGTGGGTACAGTGTTCATTGCTTTAATAAGCTAAAGTAAGTCCAATTGGTATTAAAGCTATTTTTTTTTCTTCTTACAGTACTCTGACCATACAATTTTATTTTTAATCATATTTGCTATGTCTTTATTTGGACAGCTGCAGTTTTCAGTCAAGCTCACTGTTATATATATATATTTTTTTTTTTTTAGCAGAAGGCTTCTGTTTTATTATTACAGGCTGTTTTATTTACTCTGGACAAAGACACTGGTATTCCAGCATTTTCTAAGTTATGGCAGGATTGAGCCTCTGTGGTTTATTTTGGTTCTTTACAATTTGAACAGATTTCCTAAGACCTTAGAGAGACAGTTGGGTGGAAATGGTGAAGGATGGATGTCTGACAGTACAGTCATCTCAGAGTAACATTAGAAATGACCTACCTGTCAGAACAATTCTGGATTTGCTATAAGCCATAACCCCTTTCAGGAGATTAAGCATTTGATAACCATTGATAACATCTTCCCCTCTGGCTGTAAAAGTGTATAGTTTTTTAGGAACATACAGAGGGACATATTGGATATGATGTATGTGTGTATTTATGTATTTGAGTTTATATGTAGAACTTTCAGTTGTTGGAAAAACATCCATAGAAAAACTGAATTGTTTTCCTAAAACAAACAGCAGTTTTATGATTATTTTATCCTAAAAATGATTAAACAAATCATAAAAAGTCCAAAATGAATTAGCTATTCATGCTATGCGGAGTGTTCATAGGCCTCTGACTTGAACTGAACAGTGGTAATTGAATGCTGTCCTTTAGATACTTAGGGGTGTATGAGATTGTCAGTTTTGTTATTTCTAACAGCAGATATTTATCTTTGTGACTGCAGGATATGCAGAGGTTATGAATTACATTAATGATGGTTTTGTTTCACTCCTGTAAGCCCCATCAGTAGGTCAGCATGTATTATGAAGTGGCCCTTGAGGCCAAATTGAATAAAAACCTTATCAAAGTTATTAACTGCAGTTGTGCTCTTCCTGCTGTTCTGCGAGATCTTGGGGGTGGGGAGAGAAAATTCATCATCTGGCTTCTTTCCCTGCTTAATTTTTGTTTTATCATCAAACAGCATTTGGCTGTGGATTAATAGATCCTCAATACTTCAAACCAAATTAGCATTTCACTGGTTAACCTCTGAAGACACAGTGTTTCCCTGCAGACCTTTAAAATAATGCTTCTGTTTGTATTTTTTTTCTTTGTTAATGCTTTCAGGTCACTTGCTGCTCAGACATGAGAACCATTTGAAGTGACACTCAACGACTCGGTTTGGCAGGATCCCCACAGCCTGTTTAGAGCTCCATGCCGCTCTAAGGGGGATTCACTCAGCCTGCGTACGAGTTCCACCCTTCTGTGTCTCTTCTCTCTTCTCACCATGGGTGGAGCTGTGAGCGCCGGGGAGGACAACGATGACCTTATTGATAACCTGAAGGAAGCTCAGTACATCCGCACAGAGAAGGTTGAGCAGGCCTTCCGGGCCATAGACCGGGGCGACTACTACCTGGACGGCTATCGGGACAGTGCCTACAAAGACTTGGCGTGGAAACATGGAAACATTCACCTGTCCGCCCCATGTATATACTCTGAAGTAATGGAGGCCCTTAAGCTGCAGCCAGGACTTTCTTTCCTTAACCTTGGCAGTGGAACCGGCTACTTGAGCACGATGGTTGGGCTCATCATAGGTATTATGCAATTTATTCATGCTTCACAGGGGAGTTTCTTAGATGTTCTACAAGTTAATCTTTCTAGATTAGAATATCACATAAAAGTTAATCTACTCAATTAGTTTCTCTTAAAATGGGAAGCTTGGTTATTATGTAGAAGAATTCAATGAAATTATTGATTTGTAGTGTTTATTCTCTATAATTTTTCATTGCGGAAAAGACAGACACTGCAGTGAAAAAAGCTAATTTTTTAAAACAGAAATGTTAGGTTTTGGCCAAAACAATCATAGGAAAGATGGCTGACACAACAACCATCCAGCTGCCAGTGCACTGCAAAACATTGAAATCTAAATAAGTAATTTTTTCTTAAAATAAGTGCATTTTACCTTTTTATTGATGAGGTAAGTGAGACCCTTTGCAATTGGAGCATAAAATATTATCTAATTATCTTATTCTAAGTGTAAAACTACACATTCCATTAGCAAATCATCTTATTTACCATTTCAAATTAAGAGTAAATGCACTTAATTTAAGAGATTTTTTTTTACTTATTTCTATATCGTTTTCCCAAAATAAACTTTTTGTTCAGACCTCCTAATTTAAGCAGATTAATGGAAAGTTAAGTGGAAGGAAAAGGTGTGATAGAAAAACATCTGAAGGAAGTTTCACATCTTTTTCATTAAGCTGTTTCTGAACCAGAGATAATATCAAAAGAGTCATCAGCTGTTCACCAGGTTAATGAAATGCACTTCATGCTTCATTTTTATGACTACATTTATGGACAAACTGATTTCATTTTGCAACAATGTCTGCCATTTGTCTGCGCCCCACCAAACTACAGATACTTGCTATAAAGATCATAGTAAGGCTGTAATATAACTTTTGTACATGCACTGCAAACACTCATGACTTAAATTTTATTGATAATTGATGATGTATTATCAGTGGGCAGATGAGGGAGATCAGACCCAACAATGCAGATGAGCAGGAGGCAGTTATTAAAGCAACCAGGGCATCTTGAACACCTCAGCACAGTCACAGGTTTATTGGCTTCCAGCCTCACTGCACTGATGCAGCAGTTTATGCAACAGCAGCACAGGCTAGATAATGAATGCATTTACTGTACAATACAAGAACATACTTTTCCACAGTTTGACATTTCTATATTCAAAACATATTTCTGTCTTTATTTTTTAATCATATGTTACAGAAACTGAGTTAATGATTCGTTTTCTACAATAGATTAACATTTAAATTATATTGAAGCCGATCAAGGTGCTTTCTTTCTATGAACTAAACAGCTAATTTAACTGTTTGTTTTATTTATAACAAAATGTTAAACCTTATTTATTTGATATTCATTTACAGGGAAGCATAAAAATATTTCTTGTCTGAAGACCACAAACTAACATTTAGTTTTTCCTCTCAAAAAGTGACCATGTTAATATGTAGCGCAGGCGTGTTGTATTTGGAAACTTGATGCCAGAGTGTCTTTGAGACGAAGGACTTTCTCCTGTATTCTATTTATTTTTCTTTTGCTCCTGTTTTAGGGCCTTATGGTGTGAACCATGGAGTCGAGCTCCACAAGGACGTGGTTGAGTATGCCCGACAGAAACTTGATGAATTCATTAAGAATAGTGACAGTTTTGATAAGTAAGTAAATGCCTTCAGAATATTCCTTTCGGTTTTTGTTAAGTGTGTTTATTGTCAGATGTAAACTGTAAATGAGTCTAATTCCTCCTGAATCTCTGACGGTTGCCTAGCAAACAGTCAGCCAAGAAGCTGCCCAGAACAAAACCACCCACGTAAATACTCTTAAAACAGATCACTGTCAGTGTGCACAAATTAAACACAGATAAATGTTAATAAATGGCTGTAGCTCAGGAGATGGAGAGGCTGTTCCTCAGCTGGAGGGCTGATGCTGGGTTTTACAATCAGAAGGTTGCAGCTGGTTTCATTGCCAGAAAAAAAACAAAAACACTTGGCTCCCCAAACTGCATTACACTGGTTGAGGTGGTTTTTTTTGTCAATCTTAAATCTGAAGCATTATTCAAGTGCAAACAGTCCATCAGACCATAACACTTTTAACATTTCAAAATCGTTTATTGTCCTCCAGTTTTGCATAGTATAAAGCTGCTTCCTGTTGTACTCGGCACAGTGTTTTTCCACACTGCCTTGCAAAATAGACCTTCCCCTTGGCCTTTTGTTTTTGATTTCTTTTTTTAACTCCTATTTAATTAGATGGATCCCCACTAATTAGTCAAAACGGGTTACTTTTAATGTGGATAAAATATTGGATTATTTTTAACATTGATACATGCATATGTATCCACTCACTTTGCTATGAAGACTGTAATAAGTTATCATGCAAAACATTAGCTTTAATGGTCAAATGGTCACACA